GAACAATAAATTAAATAATAAATGTAATTTTCATATGATATATATTTTTTAATATTTAATCTAAACATATAAAGCTCACAAAGTCCAGTCTTAACCCCGCCATTGGCTGAGCAGCCGTTCAAAGGCTGCTGTCGCTGTACGAGACGGGGAGCACGGCAAGTTGTCGCAGAGAGAAATGTGGGGTGGGAGCAATGATTTATTCTTGGTATACACCGGTAAATATTTCTATTTATTGGTATGAAAGCAGGGATGGGTTTGATGTGTATTTTTGAAGAGGAGAAGGGAATTGCATGATGCTGTTTGGAAACCACACACGTAATTATTTCAGATGTTGAATATTCCGACCCGGGAGCATCCCTGGGATGCGGTGTTGGGTTTGTGACCCCTTGGCCGTGTCCCAGCGGCCGGGCATGGTTCACCTTGGAGCCAGAACATTAAACAGCGAGTGGGGAAACGCACGTGTGGAAGGCCAAGACGGGCGCTTGGCACCGTGTCACGGGGAGGGAAAACAGCTCAGCGGAAAGCAAACAACCCCCCATGCTCCCGATTACAAGGTTATGTCGATTTTCCCCCCCCCTTCCCCGTCCTCGCAGGAGGACGTGAGCTTTTGCTTTGCTGCTTGTGCTTTTTCCCCTGCGTGGAGGTTTCCATCTCTAGGGGGAAAAAAAAAAAAAAAAGATTTGCTAGGTTTTGCTCTCCTAAATGCACTTTGAAAGCAACTTAAAAGCGGGTTTTGGTTTTGGTTTGGTTTTTTTTTCTACTAAACTGCATGTAAAACCATGGAAGATCACAGCCCTGGTGCGAGTGTGGGATGGGGAAGCAAGGGCAGGGACCCCCTCGGGCTGCGCATCCCTAACCTGGGCTAAGCACGACTGCTTCAATTTACAGTTTTAAATCAAGAAGGAGAGCCCGCTTTTGGAATCAGGGTGCCCCTCCCTAAATTTATGCCAAAATCAAGGGATTTCCCACTAAATCGTCACCTCCTGCAGTTTAAAGCCACCCGGAGATTGGTAATTCCCAGCAGGCAGCACTGCCCCAGGGTCTGGGCAGTCCTCCCCCTCCAAAATGGGAATTGAGGATGCTGAGAAGCTGTTCGCTTGTTTTATTCCTTTTTGTTGTTGTTATTTCTCCTGGGAGAAAATGATTTGTAATATTTTCCACTGGGAGATGTCTAAAAATTAACTCAAAAGAAGAAAAAAAAGACACCCCAATCCTTTCTGCACATTTCCAAGCTTGTGGAAAAGCCAGAAGCAGCTAATAAAGTACGGTAGCTTAAGAAAAGAAACCCAAACCATGAAACTATTTATTTTTAACACTGTTATGAAACATTATGCTTTTTTCCCCTTCTCTCTATTGCGATGGGACCCCTTTTTATATGGCAACCCATGGTGTCCCCTTCTGCCAAGGTCCCCAGTGCCAAGCAATGGGTACCACAAATTCACCTGCGCGGGGAGATGCAGCATCCCCACTGCAGGACTATTCGTTTGTAAATAAAAAGCACCACTTGTGATGTGTAAAAAAAAAACCTAAATGGAATGAACGCGGTCCTTGCAGTGTTTTATTTTCACCAAATTTATGATATTTCATCTGGAGGAGAAACAAGTGCGGGGCAGCTTTCGCTCAGCATCAAACGCCAAATCTGAATCACTTTACTCTCCAGGATAACACAGCATCCGCCGCAGCCGTACTTCTGGTGTCCTTTGGGGTCTTTAGAAATAGAAACAGTTGCTGCTAGAGCACCAAAACCCACCAAACCCCACCAAAACCCACCAAACCGGGGGGGCCCAGAGCACCGGAGAGCACCACGGCTCCCGGCACCGAACCCCAAGGGCTTTGCAGGAGCAGCTCTGAGCACACGCGGTCAAACCCCAGCACCAAGCTTTGCCTTTAAGCGCTGCTTCGGCTTGAAAGGAAACCAATCAGGGTGAAATTTTTTTTTGCTGTAAATGCTGATTATTCTTTTTTTTAATTTCTTTATTTCTGTTTATTTATGATTGCCAGGGGTTGCTGTAGGAAGCAGGAGAGAAGCTCAAGCGATACATGATTTTTCCACACTGTGTTTTTAAGAGGGGAACTGAAAGCACGTGTCCGAGAGAACTTTTAGCGCAGTTAATTAACTTTAATAGCCCATTCTCCTCTCAGATTTGACTGACATAAAGAGAGGCTCCCAAACCTCATACGGTGCCTGAATCTCAGGCAGATGTTGAGGCTGGAAAACATCTTCCTACATCCCGAAGGCTCACATCTGGCACGACACGGCTCCAGCCAGCTGTGCTTCAGCCTCTGCCAAACACATCGCATTGCTTGAACTTGGGGGAAATCCATTCCTTAACTCCCCACAGCTACTTGATATCAATTTCTTTTAATTGCAGGCTAGATTAGATCATCCATCACCAGCTTGAAGAAAAAAATACACTGATAAGACACGATCGGGCAATATCACGACGGGAATTATCGTTACAGACATGGTTTATCCAGTAGGAATTGCAGGGAAACTGCTAAAACTCCCCGGAAAGGGAAGTTTTGCTCCTCTGATTTTTGTCTGTCCTAGTGCACGACTGAAAAATGTAAAAATAATTAAAAAGTCAGGTCCCCACCACGACCTTCACCGCTGGGCTCAGCCCTGCAGACCCTTTGGCAGATGAAATGATGCTGCTCAGCTTCGCGGCTCCAATTTTATCATGTGCCAGGATAGAAACCCTGGGAGAAAGCTCTTGGCTGCTGGGTGCTCAACATCTACTTTCACTCTTCCTAAATTGCATCACCCTGGATTTTTACTGTGTAAAATAAAGGAGGGAGGTGAAAGCTGGCTGACGGTATCCATCCCACTCAAGCAATATCTTGTGAAATGGATTTTTGAGGCCACAGACATTTGCCACGCACATTGTCCTCTGCAGAGGATGCTGGAGCCGGGTCCTGCTCTGGGTTGGGGCAGAGCTTTGCTAAGCCACATATCAGAGCCTGACCGTGCCTCAGTTTCCCCTGAGCTTATAACAACATCGTCTACCTTGGAAAAGCACTTTTAAGGTTGCCTGGTGCTATGTGGGCACCCAGCAGCCATGGGAAAGGGCAAGAAATGGGTGCTGGGGGCTCACAGATGGAAAGCAAGGAGCTTCACCCCAAAAAATCAATGTTCTTGAAGTTGACAGAGCAGTGGTAGCGGCCGTTGAGGAACTTGGAACATATGAAGTTGGGCAAACACGGGCAGGTGTGGTGCTGGCGCTTCCCGAAGAAAGGGACCTGCGGAGAAATATGGGAGAGACGAGGGCATCAGGGCTCTGCCGCAACCAAAACCATTATCAAACGGGATCAAAGCCCTGAGAAAATCTCTGGCTCTTCTCAAGGCTTTAATAGGGATACGCCTGAAATTAATTTTTGATCCCACTGAAGCCCTTCGCTCCTTCCTTGGGCAAGCAGAAGGCCCTGCATCATTAAATCTTGCTCCTACCCTCCAAACTCAATACGGGAGGACGGAGTGGGGATGCTCCCCCCGAGGCTGGGCGGCTGCTGCTAAATCCTCACGGAGGAGGGATGGCAACAGCATCGCGCTTTGGGCTAATCCCAGCGCGCTGGGTTTTCTTATCGGACCGAAATCACGGCGCTGGGGCAGCTCTGCGGCATTAACTCGGCTTCTCCTCACTTGGCAGAACATTTACGACTCAATTTGGAGCAGCACGGCGAGCGCTTGTCTTTAAATGAATGGGCCAGGCGGCTCAGTCCCAGCTCCCAGTCAGCACCCATGGGGCATCCCAAGGATTTAGGGGGGCTCACACAGGCAGGGGGTCACTCAAAATACTTCAGA